TAAAGAATTTAATTTAAGGAGTACTTCCGAATTTACTGCATCATTTGCTTGTACCTATTCAATATATGTTTGGTCGCATGGAAGATGAAAACCTAGCTGTCTTACTTGCTGAATCTTCTTTTTCACCTGCAATAGGATATCCAACTGGGGCAGAAACAGATCGATGGCCAGTGAAGAACAGAAAGCTATTCAATCAAACAACAAGTCGAGGTCAATCCCCATAGAAGGCGGATGTAGTATTAGTGACAAAGTTGCTTCAGAGAAGGAACTCGGCTCTATCAGCCTTTTCACTTGAGCAGAACTAGTCCAAGGTGAACATGGGCGAAGAAATTGTTCTTAATTAAGATGTGATACAAGTAAGTGTTTGTGAAAGAACCATAGTGGACTGCACTCCAGTTGCTATCATTGGACCAGCTGACATGACTACTCAGACAGATGGGTGAAAAGATGACACTGGATTGGGTTAAGCTGAAAGTTAAGCTGACTTCAGGATTCTTCCGACTGTACACCAGAGGCCAATAGAAGAGTTCATTGTAGTACTACAAGCAGTGGAATAAGGCTGGTGATAATAAGTCTAGTTCTAAGTCATATAAGAAGGTAAAAACAGCAAATTCAAGGACATCCTGGAACTACAATATCTGCTATGGATGAAAGGGGAGAATTTCAAATTTTGTTTAGTGATTTTTCTACAAGTCAGGCTGCTGCTGCTTCTTCTTCTTCTTCTTCCTCTTATTATTATTATTATTATTATTATTATTATTATTATTAGAAAGAAAAGTAGTAGAATTTTGCAAGGGGGTAGATAACCTTTTTGGAGAGTTAAATATGTTATACCTTTGCTCATTTTTAGTGTTGGATTGAAAAAACATTTCATTTTTTCCCTGTTGTTGACATAACAATTAAAGATAATAATGTTGGAGGGCGAAAGGATGCCGATTTTTGGTGATTGTGACTAGTAGTACAAAACGAATATTATGTTTACATGTTGGAAGCAAGTGATGAAGTCAGAGTTCAAGAAACAACGTAGGAAAGAGTTGCATTTTTTGAAGACTAACCCTTCTTTATAAAAAGCTAACCCTTCTTCTTTATAGAAGGCTAACCCTTTAAAGATGCTGCATTTAAAAGATATAGAGAAGTGTTGCAATTTTAAAAGATTAAATCATCCTCCCTTTCCGGGGAAAAAGAAATACTAGTAGAATTTGCAAGGGTGTAGAATACCTTTTCTGTAACAATAATAGTATTTTTATTGTTTGTCCTTTTGCTTAATTTGTGTTGGATTGGAAAAATCATTTGATATTTGTGTGTGTGTGTGTGTTGGTTGACATAAATATCAAAGCTAATAACGTTGGAGTGAGATAGGATGGTGGTTTTTAGTGATTGTGACTAGCAGTACAAAGCAAAAACAATGTCATGTTGGAAGCAAGTGAATGAAGAATAGTTGAAAAACATAGGAAAGAGATGCATTTTAAAAGACTAACCCTTCTGTAATAAATTATTATTCTTGGGGAAGCATTTCACAGTTTAGGATAACCAAACTAGCATACCAGAAAAAAGACAAAGAAATAAAGAAAAATATTGAAGTTTGTTATCATACATATATTTATAGTTTACGAGATTGTTCAAGCTATTATTGTGAAAATTGATTACTACAAATATCATTAAAATTTTCATCTTTTGAACAGAAGAAAGCAAGAGGTGCCATTTGGTTTCTGCAATTACATAGATTTATTTCTATTTTACATAAAACATAAATACCTCAATTGTTTATTCTCTTCCTTAAACGATGTTTTACATCATCATTGAACCAAAAAAAGCAAGCAAGAGGTGCCACTAGTTTCAGCTATTTACATAGATTAAATTCTATTTGCATAAATATCTCAACGACTCCTGCTCGAGTAACGTAATGTGATTTCACCCAAAGTCCAACTGAAAATTAAAGAAATGCGCCATCCTAGAGCTAAGAAGAAAGATGTCCCAGTAAAACACATGAGATCAATCAAGCGGGCAGAAACTACATATATATTGATGAAACAAAAAAAGGAAGCATTATCTTTTGCAAGTCTGCAGAAAACATCCCTCAGAACAGAAAACAAAATTTAGAATACTAATATTTCATAATAGAAAACTACCAAGTAGAACACCAAAACAAGGGAGCATAACGTCTGAACAATCATCATCAAGCTTCAACCCTCTCAGGTGCTGGCGCCTCCTCAGCGGGGTAGACAATAACCTTATTGGCAGGTTTAGACAAGATATCAGCATACTCTTGGAAAGGAGATTTGGTGAAGCGAGTCTCCTTCCAGAAGTCTGGAGTCAGGAACCCATAAGTCTTCATCAAACAATCAAATGTAGCCTGCAACATATAAAGAATGGCATTTACCACCAGTAAAATATATGGTATGTGAACATCAGATGAGGCATCCAAGTGCTATGGCTGAACACATTTAACATTCAGTTAACTGGAAAGTACAAAATGATCCTTCTGCTTGTGAATTTAATTTACTCTTGTCTTATGTCAAGCATGTACTATTACTCCAAAACTGAGGGTAATATAATTCTTAAAATAATCCAAATATAGCATATTTTCTATTTAAAGAGACCAAAAACACACATTTCTATTGCCTATTGATACTATATATTTCTATCTTATTCTACAAACTCTCGCTTTTATTTCCTGAAATTTGGAATTTCGAGGACAACAATTGACTATCAAAAAGGATACAAAAAGCAGGGAGTACTTTTGGTTTTCAGCAACAAGATACACAAAAGTTATGAAATAGATATACTTTTTTTGGTTCAATCACAAAGTTGAACAACCAATTGCATCCATTCTTACACTATAAGATCACAACATGTACTGAACATATGATCATGTAACAGAATCAAAATACAATGGAAAAAAGATAGTTGCGAGATTTGTTAAATAGATCGAACCTTAACGAAGTTGCCGAGGGTTTTGGTGGATCCACGAGAAGAGGTGAAGACATCCTCAATACCAGCAAACTGAAGCACCTTCTTAGGAACACGAGCAGCCACAATACCAGCACCACGAGGAGCAGGCACCATCCTCACTGTAACTGACCCACATTTCCCAGTTACCTTACATGGCACTGTGTGTGGCTTCCCAATCTTGTTACCCCAGTACCCTCTTCTCACCGGAATCACTGATAACTTGGCCAATATAATTGCGCCACGTATAGCAGTCGCCACTTCCTTCGAGCACTTCACCCCCAAACCGACATGACCGTTCCCATCACCGACGACGACGAAGGCCTTGAATCGGGTTCTCTGACCGGCCCGGGTCTGTTTCTGAACCGGCATGATTTTCATCACCTCGTCCTTTAGAGATGGTCCGATGAGTGTGTCGATGATTTGGAACTCCTTAATAGGGAGTGAGTGGAGGTAGATTTGCTCCAGTGAACGGATTTTGTTGTCTTTCACTAGCCTTCCGAGCTTTGTGACTGGGACCCATTTCTCCTCCTCTGTCTCACGGCGGGGACGACGGCCACCACGGCCGCGTCCGCCGCGGTCTCCACCTCTTCCACCGCGTCCGCCGAAGCCACGGCCAAAGCCTCCTCTCTCCCCTCCTCTCTCAGCCATAGTTGTTTGCTGTCAACGCCTAGGGTTTTAGTAAATACAGAGGAAGTATGAAAATGCAGAATAAGGGGTTGGTTTATAAGGGCTAGGGTTTGTTGATGCGGTGCAATTGGGCTTGAGAGTAAGCTGATTGTGACCCATATAGAACGGCAAGCTTGGCCCAGAGATTTGTAGGAAGGTCATATAGTATTGGGGATCAAATGTGGCATAACTATAACATTAAGAAAGGAAATTCCTAGTTGTACTTTTACAAAAATTACCATTCTTAACTATATTTGAATTTTATAGGAAATATACCTATAGTATTGAAACAAGAAAATAATTATTTTAAAATAAAACAAAAGAGCAACAAGCTCTAGTAGGCTAGTTGGTTAGAGCACTTGTTTAGTAAACGAAGATCTAGGTTTGACTCAATTAAAAGTATTGACACAGCTTGTATTCGTTGCGCGTCTGAATACAAATAATTTTGCACTTGATATGACTTTTTAGCCACTAGTTGAAATGTAATCGAAAAATAATTAATACTTTTTAAAGCGAAAATAATTTTTGGACAAAAATACCCCTATCCCAAAAAAGGCTATTGCAGTTCAATCCCCATGATTTAAACCTAAAGTTCTAAAGTTCTCTACAGGGGAAACTCCAACAATGTGTGGCACTTTAAAGGTAAAACTCCAACACTCCTCGCTTAAGGTAGTCATTTTCTATAAAACTATCTTGACTTATAACTTTATATTACTTATTCCAACTAACACTTAGACATAATTATTAATCTTTAGTATCCAAAAATTTCACTAAACACTCTTTGATTTACTACTAATAATAATTTTTTAATTTTTAATTTTTTTTTAACTTGCCAACCAAAATCGAAAAATTTATTTTAGGATAACAATTTTTATATAAACATATTATTAAAAGACAAGTTGGACATAGAATGAGAACTGGTTTCACCAGCCACATCAGGAAAAGACAAGAGAGGTTGGTCTGATGGTAAGCAACATCCACTTCCAATCAAGAGGTCGTAAGTTCGAGTCTCCCCAAGAGCAAAGTGGGAAGTTCTTGAAGCAAAGGATGTTCGGGTTTCTATTTGGAAACAAACTCTCTACCCAGGGTAGGGGTAAGGTATGCGGGGTTGATACATACTCTCTATTCATCGAAACACTTTAATGCCAAGACCTGGACTAAACGTGCTCCAATACTGCAAACGTAAAGGACCATTTCTGTTCATGGTTACATTATAAGGACCAAAATACAACCTATTAGTATACTTAAACTATCTCAAAGAGAGAGCGCGAACCAGAAAGCAAGCTGAGTTTCTCATTTTTGGGGTTTAGGGTTTTTGCAATTTTGCTTCCGATCTTCCCATCTCATGGAGGAACCAAATAGTCCTGTCTCTAATCAGTCTCCTCGCAGCTCCACCTCCTCTTCTTCCTTCCTCAGAGAAGTACATTTTTTTTCTTAATAAAAATTTAATAATTTTGAATTTCCATTAGTTACATTGAATTTTAGTATATACTAAGTGTTCACTGAGAGGTGCATGTAATTTCTTGTGCAGGTTCACTTATACGATTGGTGGTTGACTAAAGCCGAGGATGATGCTGGAGGCAAGCAATTGGCTGTTGAAGGTTTCACTTGTAAAGAGTAAATTCTACCCTCTTCTTCAATTTCCTTGTTATTTGTAAAAACATGTTAACAGTTTCTACTTTATTAGAAGTTAGTTTTTAGAGCAGCACTTAATCTTATCAATCAATAAATCAATCCGTCAATCAACCAGGCTTAATCCCAAACTACTGTGGTCGGACTATGAATCCTCTTTATTGATTCCACTCCTGGCTAATTCAATTCATGTGCTACTTGCACTATCTTTCGGGGCATTTCTAATCTTATTTACTTTAATATGACCAAAAATTCATTTTAAAATCCACATTTCTACTACACTTATTTTGTGGATATGTTGGATCTTAGAGGCGCATTATTCACTTCTTTATAACACTGCTTAACCTCATAACCATTTTATAACATGCTTTTATTTTTGTTAAAATTTAATCAAGACGCAGATGATATGTGGATTTCAAAGTTTTGCTTTGATTGTCTCTCAAGTAGCCACGCAAATTCTTATGATCTTTTCCATGTTTTTTCCATTGATCAGGTAAGAAACACGGTTCGAGAAATGTTCTTTTACATGGATTGTTTTCCAAGTTGCATTCATAAGCTTTTAGAACCTTTTCTGGAAGGGTATGAAGATTTCTTTGGCAACGATCTCATTTTCTAGAACATAATTAGCATAGCTCAGTTTGGAGGCCTTCTTTTGATTTCTTTTCCATGAGTATGTCCGATAAAAGATTTAATTCTCTTTGCACCTGGATGCCCCTACTGGACTGCTCATATCCAAACATAGTAATTCATAAGCTTATCTAGTCTAAAAGTGTTTTAATGGAGCTAGCGTACTGTATTTATTTGATTTCATGTGACAAGGCATTTATTGGATTCCAATCATGTGATATTTTGTTGCACCCCCGTTAAATAGGCGACCAGATGATAGACTTTTCACCTCCGCAGCAATTACAAAGAGGCATGATACTGTCACTTTAGTGACAGTGGATGGCATCACCATTCTTGTTAGCGGTTTAATAAATAGGGCTCGGACTCTTCAAAATGGGTTCTCGTCAGAGGTATTGAAGTTATTTTAGTTCCTAACTCCTCATATGACTGCTTTATTTATTGACAGCTGTTGAGATGGAACATATGATTGAGGTTTACGTTAGCTAACAAGTTTTAGAGGTTCTATTTGAGCCCAACTGTAGCATTAACTGTTGAAATCATAGTACTAGCGGTAGTTTGTCAAACTTGGTGGATGACAATGTACGACACAACAGTGTCACACGCACATCTTGTACATATTTTTTCACGTCAACTTAGTGTTTATTAATGAAATTTTTTACTTGTAAAAATATTCATATTACTATCCAATGGGTCCTTTCTTGTTCGTTTATTTTTGCTTACCTGTTCTGAAATTTGCTCCCCACTCCCCTTTAAGTTCTTCTGAAATCTTTCATCAGCTATCAATCTTCTTACAGATAAACTTTAGTCTTTTTCTGCTTTTGTGCTTTTGCTAAAATAGGAAAGAAAGCCTGCTAAATCATAAAAAGGACTCTTTATTAGCACATTAGTTACAAATTAGAATAAAGTTTTTTTTGAAGATGAAGATAATAAAACTAACTTTCAAACCAACAGGTTTGCAACCAGTTCCTTATTGGATTTCCTTACAACTGGAAAGAATCGGCTGCTCTACCATTTGGAGAATCAACCAATGAAGATACAGCCTTTGGACTTCCTGGTTTCTCGGAGTCAAAGGCATCAGCTGATCGCACAAGTAGCTCCTTCTCTATGCCTATTGATCATCTTACCGCCACTGTTTTACGAGATATCTTAATATCGAGTGCTGGTAATCTAGAAGGTGGGATGCTAAGAAATAGTATTTTTCGTGAAATAGTGCAGAAATATGGCACCAATGCTTTTAATATTGGTGAAGCCTCTTGTTTGAACCAAAAAAGTAGTAATCAGGTCACAACCGAAGATCCTTCTTTGAATGAAAATCCTATTCAAAAGATGAAAGCTAAAACTAACTGGAAGCAAGAGGATAGCTGTACACCAGATGCAAAATCTGGAAAAGAAGACTTTCAGCAAGCTACTCCGGAGGATATACCAGAAAAGAGTGTTTTGAGTAGAATGCTACATAAAAGTGGTGACAATGCTTCTATCCTTGGTGAAAATTCTTGTTTGAACCAAAAAAGTGGTACTCAACTCATAAGCAGAAGTCTTTTACTGGATGAAACTGCTTATCAAAAGAAGAAAGCTGCAGCTAATTTGAAGAATGAAGATGATAACCATGTGCCCGATGCACAAAGTAGAAAAGAAGTGCTTCAGAAATGTAATGATGAGAGTGGAGCTGGCATTGATAACAATAGCTCAAGTAGCAATCCTTTCACAAGAAGTAAAGATACCCTATATAAGAAAATCACAGTTAACCAGAAGGAAGAAGAAAAGAGAGATGTGCATAAAGTAGAATTTTTACTAGGAGATTTTGAGATACTTAACCATGCCACTAGCTCGAATAATGGTCCATTGACAAGAAGTAGAGCTCAAAAACAAGTTTAAGCAACAAGTTCAAGAAGGAAATAGATTTTTGTGAAAGGTGTTATCGGAGTTCCGTTGTGCAGATTAACTACCTCTGAATAGTAATGGAATTTCCATAAATCATAGTGTTTGTAGATTTATCGCCATGTTGTTGTAGTCCATAAGGGAGACCGGGGAACCATTCTTGTTCAAATTTTGAAGTTTATGTTTTGTTTTGTCAATCTAGCATTTCAATTTTTCTTTTTTGTGTTCCTCTTAAGAAGATGGTGATCGTGCTTGGACCAAGAGGTATTAAGAAGATTAAGCAGTTTCATCTTGTGACAGGGTACTTCAATGCTGATGCTGTATTTTGCACTTTGTCAAAGTTAGGTTATTAAAAGAATAGCAGTTACTTTCACTCTGTGAAGAAGTAAATGATATAGAACAATTGAGGGATCTATATTTCAATGAGATATTTGTACTACTCATCTATTGACCATACTTCGAGTTTTTGCTAGAACGTTTCTTGAAATTTACCACAACATTAGATATGCCCTAAAAGAAAATCAATCTATGTATTGATTTTGGGTCATAGTTAGGAAGCTAAGTGAAGGTTACCAAGTTTGAAAGTAGGTAAATTAGACGAGCAATGTTGTGAACCAAGTTGACTTCATAAGGGCCTATAGGCTAGAAGAGATAAATGAGACTGGGTCAATTGAGATTATTGGATCGAGTAAAATGTTGGAGAATTATATATGGGATCTAGGCCCAGTTAGAAAGTGGATAAAAAGGACTACAAGGACTAGGAGGTTAGAAAGAAGGAATATGTGAATTATGTTGAAGCTTGGCTCGGCTCATCTTCTGGTTTTGTATCTCATCCTTTTTCTTCTTAGCTTCCTGTTGCAGTTTCTTTTCTCATCTCGTCTCTATTTCTTAAGTGTTATTTTCTATTGTTCTATGAACATTTGGTTATTGTAATTTCGTTTGGTGAATTAATACCATCAGTTGATTTGGGTGTAATCTCTGGTTTGTTACATTGGTGCTTTCACTGATTAGTACTCCAATGACAGTATTATTAGATCGATTCAGCGGTGGTGACCCAGCGGGTTGGATTTTTTGGGCCGAACGGTATTTCAACTTTCGTGGTTTCTCAGAGAAGTACTGGTTATCTTTGGCTTACCTCTACCTTGATGGCGCTGCACTTTCTTGGTTTGATTGGTTGTATCGGAACAACCAGTTTTGGGATTGGAAGCATTTTAAAGAGAAATTAGTAATGCGCTTTCAGAAACGAACCTTTGCCAATTCTGTGGAGCGTCTAGCCTATCTTTCACAGACACGTTTTCAATATGTACATTTCGAGACTATGGTTCCTCTTAAACCTCAGGGCCCTATCGTTGCTCCTCTACATAATAGCTTCAATTCTTCTGATTTAGACGATGGAGTAGATACAGATGCTTTGGAGGCCAAGTTGCAGGGGTCCCAGACAGATACATCTTTGGGATCAAAGGATGAGTTTGTAGCGAAGGATAGGGAGGACTCTAAGTTGTCTGTAACAGCCAAATCCGCTCCTGTCTCTCAAGATGTCGTTTCGGAGCTTGTCGAGTCTGTTAAGAGCTCGTCAGCAACTTTCGAGCACCAAGTGTTTGATAAAATTTCTCATAGAGCCGAGATAATTTTACCAGAGTTATCCCTTATAGAAAATGACTCGGAGAATATTAGTCCGGTTTTCAACAAAAATCTGGAGTCTGAGACTGAATTATGCATGCATCACAGTCTAATAATTGGTGACTATGGAATTTCTCTGGTCATTAAGGATGGAGACGGTTACAAAGTCACTTATGGAGATGAAGAGAACTCACACACTGGTGTGTGCCAGGCGTTTGATAATTATTCTCAAAAAGCCAGAGAATTTTTGTTTAACAGTGCAGTGCTCTACTCACTTTGGGAAAGGAGTGACCCCTTGATTTTGGATGGAACCCGATTGATGCACAAGCATATATTCATACACTTTCCATTTGATCCTGGAATTGATATTGAAGAAAGAGGGAGTAAAAATGGCATCACAGATACTGCTAGCTGTGAATTGCTATTGAAATGTATAGCAAATGTCTCTTGCATTGCTGAGAATGTTCCTGGGACAACTAATAGTGCTGCTAAGCTCAGACAAATGACTTATGGAAGCTTGAGTGACACCGTTAGGAGCTTTGCTGTTTTGGACACATCTCAAATTGTCACACTTCTTTGCCATGTTATTTGGAATACATTTATTGTTCTTCTGAAGCTAAGCAATAAAGATGAACCCAAGCCTAAACTCCAAGCTACCAACCAAATTATTATATTATTCCTAAAAGTTTCTGCCTATCGTAGCCCATGTGTTTATAATACTCTAAATTGACCAACGAGATTTACTTGCTTGAACCTTGAGGACAAGGTTCTTTTTGAGGGCGAGAGTATTGTTGTGAACCAAGTTGACTCCATAAGCGCCTATATGCTAGAAGAGATAAATGAGACTGGGTCAATTGAGATTGTTGGGCCGAGTAAAATGTTGGAGAATTATATATGGGATCCAGGCCCAGTTAGAAAGTGGATAAAAAGGACTACGAGGTTAGAAAGAAGGAATATGCGAATTATGTTGAAGCTTCAGCTCAAGTCTGTGTTTCTCATCTCATCTTCTAATTCTGTATCTCATCCCCTTTCTTCTTAGCTTCCTGTTGCAGTTTCTTTTCTCTTCTCGTCTATAGAGAGTTAAGTGTTATTTTCTATTGTTCTATGAACATTTGGTTATTGTAATTTCGTTTGATGAATTAATACCATCAGTTGATTTGGGTGTAATCTCTGGTTTGTTACAAGCAGCAGGCTGTTCACTTAAGTCATTCCTTTTGGTGTTGGTTCATCTAATTTTGCTTTTCTTGAGAATGAGATTTAGTAAACTACCTATGTTAGACTCAAGGGCATTAAACTATCTGCTGATAAAAGATGGCATAAGTTTATTTTGCAAAATAGGTCTATATTCTTGTAACTTCTGTCAAATGAAGGACAATCCATACAATTTGATTTTAAAATTTGGAGGAGGAAGTGTGTGAATTGATTTAGGCAGGTGAAAATGCTCAAGGCTTAACCAACACCGTCTCCCAGGGAACTTCCTTCTGTAATAACAGATACACTTCAATATACAAGGATCAAATTAGCTTAAACGAAAAGAAGAAGAAAAAAATAGTGCGCATTAGCTCTATCTTTTTTTAATTGTACTATTTTCATGCTTAAAAACTATTACAACTATATTTAACAATTAAAAAAAAATACAAAAATTGTACGAAGTCATGATCGAAGTGCTTCGATTTTTGTTGAATATCATTTGCGTCATTTAGAATTGTGTCGTATATAATTTTTTTGAATAATTTAAGATTATCAGTTGTTATTTGTCTATTATACAATTGGATTGAGGGGAACGACATCCAACTTAACCATGACCACCAAGCCCTCCTCCGTTCTAATGTTAACTTGTCAACGGAATGTTTGGAGCAAAGTTTCAAAGGTAACTATTAACTCAAAACACATCATTTAATTAACACCGCAGTATCCTAAGTATCCTAATTTACGTGTTTAGTGTTTACATCGAACAATATTAACTTACTATAGTTAATAGTAGTATAGAGATTTAGTTCCAAGTGGTGTCACGTGATACCGTTTCATTGAAATTTTTATATGTATGTATACAGTCAAAATCGAGCTTACCCGATTTTACTATTTGATCGAGACAAGGAAGTTGCATCGGGGGTAGCCTCGTAATGAATCAGACACGAGCTCGAATACGAGGCATCGAATCTAAATATCGGAGTGTCTGTTGAGACCGAGGCCAGCAGCAATCGAGATTAAGTATGACCGACTTCGAGTGAAGTGCAGTAACGAAAAGGCGAGATATCCATAACCAGTCGAAGATCACGGTGAAAATCTCCGAACAGATCAAATCAAGGGAAGTTATCTGTATCAATCATGAGATTTACTTTCGTAATTCAAATTGTTCTATAATTAAGATTCATCTAGTATATAAAGGGGGTCCCCATCATTTGTAAACACTTTACATTCACGAATACCAAGACAATATAATATTTCTTTCTTCTGCTCATCAACTTACTGCTCTTGAAATGTTCTTACTTTACTATTCTCGAGGGTTCATCAGCTCGAGGGCATTGCCCAAGCATTGGTTTGTTTTACATTCTTGTCAATTTCCATCATTTATCTCTAAATTAATCAATTGGTATTAAGTAAAATCATGTATCCTTAAAACCATATTACAAGCTTAATTGTTACTCGATTTTTAGGGTAAACAGTTTGGCGCCCACCGTGGGACTAAGGATAATAGTGATTGCTTAATATTAACCTTCATAACACACACTGCTTTTACATTTGTTCTCATAAGTGTTTTTGATTTCAGGAATCAACATGTCAAATTCTCAAACAGTACCCACTCACACTGACACCGGCATTGGTCTTCAGGACGAAAACGAACACGTAGGCGCCCTGGGAAACGGGGTGCCTCCAATCAATCCCGATGCACCATAGGCGGTGGATCTGGTTGATGTCAATTCTCATGTCGCCATTCATGGGGATTTAGGCGCCAACCCTGAAAATAGCCTCCGTAGAGACGCCTCAGTAGCCGATCGGAATGCACAAAATGGTGAAGAAGGCGGAGTTAGCCTTCGAATGATATTTGACATGCTACAAACTCAGTAGGCCGCAATAGCGCAACTCCAAAATTAGAATCGAGCCTCAAGTAGAATCGAACTCGATACATCACAGGAAGTTGCTCATAAGATCGAACCCGTGTAGGAAAAATTGAATGATAATGGATCGGGAACTAATCCTGCCATCATGAGAATGCTCGAGAAGCTCACCAAACGGATAGAACCAGGTGAAAAGAAAATCGAGGCTAATGAAAAAAGGTAGAAACGTACAACTCACGAGTTGACCAAATACTGGGGGCACCCCCGATCCTAAAAGGTTTGGATTCGAAGAAGTTTGTGTAGAAGACTTTTTCTCAAAGTGCGGCTCCAAAGCCCATTCTTAAGAAGTTTCGTATGTCGTACATCTCCAAATACAACGGGACCACCGATCCTAATGAACACATCACTTCGTACACATGCGGAATAAAGGGAAATGACTTAGAAAATGATGAGATTGAATCTGTTTTGTTGAAAAAATTTGGAGAAACTTTATCGAATGGGCAATGATATGGTACCATAATTTGCCGCCCAATTCCATCGATCGCCATGCTCATCGATTCGTTCGTAAAGGCACATGCTGGAGTGATAAAGGTCGCGACCAGGAAGTCGGACCTCTTCAAAGTGAAACAAAAGGACAATGAAATGCTAAGGGAATTCGTATCTCGATTTCAGATGGAACACATGGACCTACCCCCGGTTACCGATGATTGGGTTGTCCAAGCCTTCACTTAGGCTTTGAACGAGCGAAGTTCGATAGCATCACATCAACTAAAGTTGAATTTGATTGAATATCTAGTGGTGACCTTGGCCGATGTGCATAATCGATACCAATCAAAGATCAAAGTCGAGGATGATCAATTGGGAGCTCCATCCAGTTCCATTTACCCAAACAAGTCCGAAGGAAGGATTCAAAGAGACATAGACAGAGAGCCTCAATCGAACAGAGATCGATACCAACCATATAGCACAGATCGAAGAAATAACAAACTGGGACATAATGTCGTTCGAAATGATCGAAGGAATGATCAAGGTCAAAATTCTCGATGGCTCATGAGAAAGAATGGCTCTGATAAACATGTCGAGCCTAAGGAAGCACCACGGTTATCAGAATACAAATTTAGCATTGATGTTTCAGGTATTGTGTCAGCCATTGGACGGATCAAGGATACTAGGTGGCTCAGACCCCTACAAACCGATCCAGCTCAAAGGAATCCGAATCAAATGTGCAAGTACCATAGAACCCATGGTCATAGAACCGAGGACTGCAGACAATTAAGGGAAGGGGTAGCTCGTTTATTCAATGAAAGCCATCTTCGAGAGTTCTTGAGTGACCGAGCAAAAAATCACTTCAGAGACAGGGATGCAAACATGAAAAATGAACAGGTGGAACTGCAACACGTGATTCATATGATCGTCGGTGGGGTCGATATCCCTCAGGGACAAACATTTAAACGCACCAAAGTCACAATCACAAGGAGAAACGTACCTGAGGCTACTTACCAGAAGATACCTTATCCTTCAACGATGAGGACGCGGAAGGGATCAAACAGCCTCACAACAACGCACTAGTAATATCTATCCTTATGAATAAATATCAAGTTAAACGTGTATTGGTTGATCCAGTTAGCTCGACGAATATTATTCAATCGAGGGTCGTGGAGCAACTCGGCCTTCAGTATCAGATTGTTCCTGCAGCTCGAGTGCTTAATGGTTTCAACATGGCGAGTGAAACCACCAAAGGGGAAATCATGTTGCCATTAAACATGGTTGGAACTATCCAGGACACGAAGTTCCACGTGATCGAAGGAGATATGAGGTACATGCACTGCTCGGAAGACCTTGGATCCATAACATTAGGGTAGTACCTTCAACGCATCATCAAGTCTTGAAATTCCCAACACCAGAAAGAGTCAAAATGGTGTACGACGAGCAACCAACAACCAAAGAGATGTTTGCAATTGATGAAGTAGTACTGGTATCAGCACTAACATCAACAAAGGGACCAAAATCAAAGGAAAAACAGGATGTCAAATAGCAACCACAGTCGCCGGCCTCGACCAGATTGAAACAGTAGGAAATTATCAAGGATGATGCTTGTATGATACCTCAAACCTTCGTAATCCCTGATGATTCCGATGCCATAAAGTTGACGGTCAAAGAGCTGGAGCAAGTCATACTGATCGAGCATCTGCCCCGATCGAAAGGTATACCTGGGCATGGGGTTAACTCCCGAGCTCAGGGAAAAACTCATTAAATTACATATTAAAAATATGGATTGTTTTGCTTGGTCCCATCTTGACATGATAGGGATCCCACCAGAGACCACTACTCATCAATTGAGTTTGGACCCGAAGTTCAGACCGATAAATCAAAAGAGAAGGCCACAATCTGAGGTAAAGCATGCATTCATCAAGGACGAGGTAACCAAACTTCTCAAAATAGGATCCATCCGTGAAGTAAAATATCCCGAGTGGTTAGAAAACGTAGTTGTAGTCCCCAAGAAGGGGAATAAACTTAGAATGTGTGTAGATTACAAAGATTTAAATAATGCATATCCTAAGGTCTCTTTTCCACTACCGAATATCGATCGCATGATCGATGCCACGTCCGGCCACGAGATTCTAAACTTTCTCGATGCCTACTCGGGGTACAACCAAATACAAATGAACCCAGAGGATCATGAAAAGATCTTATTTATCACTAAGTGCGGTACTTATTGCTATAATGTAATGCCGTTTGGGCTAAAAAATGCTGGTGCTACCTATCAACGCCTAGTGAGCTAAATGTTCGAAGAACAAATAGGTAAATCAATGGAGGTTATTGATGACATGCTAGTTAGGTACCTGTGCGCAGAGGACCATTTGACACATTTGCAATAGCCTTCGACATATTGAGACAGTACAACATGAAGCTTAACCCCGAGAAATGTGCATTCGGGGTCGGTTCAGGCAAGTTCCTCAGCTTTATGGTGTCAAATGGGGGAATTGAGATCAATCCCGATAAAATCAAGGCAATCGAGGACATCACAGTCGTGGACAGCGTTAAGGCCGTACAAAGATTAACAAGCGGATAGCCACTCTAGGCCAGTTCATCTCGAGGTCTTCA